AAGGATGCATTTAACTCGACAAAGCGGTCTAATAAAGGATGTATTGATCTCGTGAATTAGCTAATTTTACTATACAAATATTTTTTAATTGGATGTTAAAGTTTATATGGGAATATTACATGACACACTGATCCTTTAACAATGCATTGGCGCAAAAAATGCACACCTTTTGGACAAATATGCCACAAATATTTGGACAAATGTGCCACAAAAGTGCCACAAATACTGCCTAAACAAAATGCTGATTTTTTGCACTTTATTTACTGTAGCAATATTTTAAATTGGCCTTTGAACTTAGCTTTATTGTATGGCAAAAAAAAAGTGTTACCTTGCCAAAGCACTGACAGAGCCCACTGATCTAATGGCGTTGTTGAATGCTCCAAATGCAAACTTTGCATGCAACAATCAGGCAGCAATTGACAGCACTCTGATCCAATGGCATACAGGCATCGTCAGATTGGCAGCACTCTAGCCCAATAATGTTGGGGGATCCAGCCATATTTCAGGGTGACCGTGCCACTCTTTATCACAACCATGCTAAAAGTGCCAGTACGTCAAGTCACATTGTTTGAGTAAATTTGAATCGATTACATTAGCTCAGTTGGAAAATATAATATTGCATTTAAAGCCAACTACCTCTCTTTATGACATTCTCCCATCCTGATTGTTTAAGGAGGTGGTAGACACTATTGGTACCAGTATATTATCGATTATTAACAGTAGTTTATATCATGGCACTGTACCGTTGGGGTTTAAGCATGCTGTTATTGAACCAGTCTTAAGATTTTAGAGAAAGTTGTCCATAATCAACTTGTTGACTTTTTGATTGGAAATAACATGGATATTTTTCAGTCTGTATTTAGGACCAAACATAGTACAGAATCAGCATTATTAAAGGTTACAAATGATATCTTCTTAAGTATTGACTCTGGGAAAAGTGTTGCCTTAATGATGTTAGATTTAAGTGCAGCCTTCGATACTTTAGATCATGTGATTTTAATAGAACACCTTAGAGATTATGTTGGGATTAAGGGTGTAGCCCTTAAGTGGTTTTCCTCTTATCTGCATGACAGGACATGCTCAGTTAAAATTGGAAATTATGTTTCGGCATCTGCGACTATCACTTGGGGGGTTCCTCAGGAATCAATTCTCGGCTCGACTTTATTTTCATTATATATGTTACCCTTGGGGTTAATTTTTAGCCAATAATGAATTATCACTTATATGCTGATGATCTACAACTGTATTTTCCTTTGGACTGTGATGGATGTACATCTTGTTTGGCTGTACAAGTGTTTGACTGAGGTAAAGGGATGGCTAGCAAATAATTTTTTACAACTAAATGAGGATAAGACTGAGTTTATTATGTTTGGGAACAAACAGCTTGGAAATGACCTGATTGAAAGTTATGGACCTTTGTCCAGTAATGGTTATGTGAAGAATCTTCACATCTTCAGTCGTGACTTGTGAGCTGAGAGTGCCCAAACCTTATATCTCATTCGCTAAATCAGTTATTCACTTGAACAACGATTATAACAACCTCTCATATATTTATAACAAACTGTAAACATAATTTGCCCCCTCCTTGAGTCTTTACTATATCTTTGTCTAAATATTTAATGTTGGGTGTTGTTTGAAGAAGGTGCGCTAAGGGAAGAATGAGGGTGATTAAAACTCCATGGTCATCCCATGAATTTCAATGGAATTCAATGGAATTATAAAGACAAATGGAACACAAGTAGCTGTAAACTTGCTATATGGACCAGGAATGGCATGGATGATTAATAAATGAATTAGTCACTGCGCTTTTTAATCCGAGACGGTAAGAACTCATTATTTTAGATATATATTTTAGGATATTGCTAAAATAATATACATTTCAGAACATCTAAATATATCTGCATCAGTAGGGTAGACTGAGTACATTTGAGACATGTGTACAGTTGAAACACCTTAAATAACTTACACAAGAACCCCAAGCCGTGATTTTTGCTCCACACATGTGTATCAGTGTTCTCTTTGATCGTGGGAAATTTGAAATGTGTGCGTCTTTCCACTCCGAAAATATTGGCAAACGTTTTTTTTACAAGATGAGATTTTCATTTCCCCATGTCCTTTCCACAATGAATAGCTTATTATTCTTTTATGATCGTTAAACTTCCCATATATCATTGTAAATGTTAATCTGTCCTCTAAAAATAGACATATTTTATGACATTGTGCCATGCAAGGTCTTTTCATAATCTAGAGAAACGTGCGAGTATGTCAGTGGGGTACGGTTGAGACACAGTGTATCAACTGTACCCGGATTGGTGTCCTATTGCTTCACATGCTGTTTAGTTGTACAGTGTTATGATAATAGGTTAAAAGTCACATTTACACACATGCTACGCAAATTCTGTTAAAAAATTATATTTGTGATATTTTAACTGTCTATTATTAATGGACATGTTTTCTAACATGAATATTAAAAGGATCACATAGCATTTTAAGAAAAATACAAGGTGGTAAAAGTGGGTACAGTTGATACACCCTTTATAGGTAGCTATGTATACAGTAACAGTTCAATCATAGAAAATAAAATACATATTCTAAAGCTGTGTGTGTTTGTGTACTGGTATTACCTACGTTATGGGGACAAAATGTCCCCACAAGTATAGTAATACCAGTAAATTTAACCTTATGGGAACATTTTTTGGTCTCCATGAGGAAACAAGCTTGTAATTCATACAGAATGATTAAAAATTTTTTAAATGCAGAAAGTTTCGAGTAATGGGTAGATTTAGGGGTATGGTTATAGAATATATGGGTATGTATATTGTTATTTTTACTGTTATGTTTCCATTTATACTGTTTGCCATATCTTTTCTAGTGTTAGATATGTGTTCCTATTTGTTTAACTGAATCTGAATTAAATAAAGCAAATAAATAAATCAGATTTTTTTAAAGAATTGCACAACTGTAATTTTGTAATTTATTACATTTGGGTGAATGGGTGTCTCAACTGTACCATGACACTGTTTCAACTGTACACCATATGGGTACAGTTGAGACAAAAATGCACCTTATGTTTATGAGCTAATTGTGGAAAATATAACCTACTTATGGCTATTATCAATTTATGATATTTTTGTACATAAGCAAAAGAAATATCATGTGAAAAATCACTTCATTTCAGCATCTAGTTTTTTGTGTAGTGATGAAAAAAGCAGAAAGTGTCTCAACTGTACTCAGTCTACCCTACTGGACATACACATACTGTCGGATCTCTAAATAAACAAAGAAAAACCTAACTAAACTAAAACTAAAACTACTCCCAAAATCTGAATAACTTGCTGTGCTTCACATTATACTTGCCATTGTAGAGACAATACGTCTGAAATACTATCTCTTAGCTCCACCTTAAGAAATACATGTTTAGAGAGCACGAGCGAACTGCAGCGGATCTGCGCTGTGTCTCTACTGCCCTATATAAACCCATACGCGCTGCATAGAGTCAGCGAACAGCTTCGTGGTGGTGAAACAACACGTTACTTAAACGTCAAACATTGACAAAGAAGGCAACCCACAATGGAGAGAATCTCATGGACACTTTTTCTGCTCTCTCTCGCATATCTAGAGGGATCTTCGCAAGATTTCGAACAGACCCAGTTCATCTGCACGTCCGTGCCCAAGGATATGGACCTGTGCGCAGCCACTATGCAGAACAGTGGACCAGCGGAGGATCTGAAGACCACAGTAATGCAGTTAAGGGAGACAGTCCTACAGCAGAAGGAAACTATAATGAACCAGAAGGAGACGATCAGGGAACTAACTTCGAAGTTGAGCCGCTGTGAGAGTCAGGGTGTTCTGGAGCCCGTGGCCGGAGGTCGGAGGAAAGAACCGGGCAAAAACACAATGGGAGACGTGTCCCGCGGCCAGACAGATACTATAGCCCAACTTGGGCAGACTTTAGCCACGCTTAAACAGAGATTGGAAAACTTGGAGGTATTTATGACCTAAAGATTTGGACTTTTCAGCATAAGACGTGTTACTCCATCTAGTCTATTCCTATAATTCATATGCTAGAGTCCTTTAGACGCAAACTCGTGCAATGCATGACAAAATTACTTACAATTACTGTTTTATATGCTGTGAGTATTTTTAATGGGGTTGAACGACTTGTGTGGAGGTCTTTGACAGATTTAGTCAATGTGTCACAGGTTCACGACAGGCTGTGCTAATCCTGAAATTGGCTTATCTAGTCTCTTATACATTTCCCATGCGTGCGTTTTAAATTATTCGTTGAATACCCCTGTCCTGTTTTCCCGTAGCAGTACAGCAGGAACAACGGCTCTGTCCAGGCGAACAGCCTTAAAGATCTGCTTCAAAATAAGATCGATGATATGGAGAAGCAGGTGCTCTCCCGGGTCAATACTCTGGAGGAGAGCAAACCCGGGCAGAAGAACGACACGGATCAGCGCAATCGAGTGGAGTCAACACTCACCTCCTTACATCAGAGAATTAACGACCTGGAGAAAGGTCAGAGATCTCATTCCATGAGACATTTTACTTGTATGTAATATAAATAATAAATATGAACTACTAGCTACAGTAATGATGCGTTTGAGAAGCATGACTGGAAGGTATTTATTGTAAAACACCAATGTTTAGGCGGTGTAATGTCGCATAGAATGGAATGGGAGGGGGAGCTGCATTAGGCTACTTAGCATATTGAGCCCATAATCCACAAATGTGATGTAGCCTAATAATAATAGGATAATTTGAACTCACGTCCTTTTCAAAGCAAGTAGCCTAGGTCTTGTCTGCATTGCTGCATAAAGTTTGCTGCTCCAAGCGCAGCCTGCTTAACCAACGCAGCACGCCAGAGATTCAAATCAGTGTTATTTCTCTACTTCATTACTATAAACACCAGTTTCACAAATTACAATAAATACAAATAATGTACTATGCATATATGCACATACAAAATAAGTATAAAAAGAAAGAACACAAAAGAATGGCAAATTTCTGCCTGCACTGCGCTTTAAAATGTGTTTGGCTGGTTCAACTTTAAGTTGTCGATGTAACCCCTGAGTAAAACCTGTTAATTGATAGAGTAGGGGGTGTGGCATAAAAGTAATTTACAGTAGTGTAATGAATAGTCCAAGAATAATAATTACGGTCACTTAAGCATTAGAGAAGTAGATTCAAGCAATGGAAGCATTTGGAAGCCTTTGTTTATCAGAAGTCTTTGTCGAATATATGTAAAGAGATATTTCATTTAGAGGGAGAGAGAGAGTGTTATAAACCCTAACAGTCAATACATTTTACTCTGCAGGTTCAAAAGGTACCAGGCCACTGGACAAGTATCAGATAACATTCCCCTTAAGAACAAATTACATCTATGCCAAAGTGAAGAAAAGTCTACCAGAAATGTATGCCTTCTCTTTCTGCTTGTGGATAAAGTCCAATGCATCACCCGGAGTGGGAACACCCTTCTCCTATGCTGTTCCTGGACAAGCTAATGAGCTTGTTCTCATAGAATGGGGGAACAATCCAATGGAGATTCTCATAAATGACAAGGTAAAGTGTCAAAAATAATAATGCAACTATATAATGCATGGTAATGCATGCATTGTAAGTGGCAGCAGTAGGGCCTATAGATATATATCAGTGTGTAACTCTGAGCTTGCTTAGTAAATGCTGAGGTCTGTTCATTTAAAAAATTTAGTCTTTTTGCACTTGTAAACAGAAGAGCAATAAAAAAATAATCCATAGTGTAACTTTATAGGTTGCAAAATTACCTTTCGTCATCAATGATGGTAAATGGCATCACATCTGCATCACATGGACGACTCGTGATGGATTATGGGAGGCATTTCAGGATGGTGTTCTGCGTGGAACTGGAGAGAATCTGGCACCCTACCATCCAATAAAACCCAACGGTGTACTAGTTTTAGGTCAGGAGCAGGTAAGACTTAGAAGTATGCCTATTAGGTTTATGTAGTTTTTATGTAGAAAATATCAGATATTGACCTTAGTCACCGGCAAAAGTAAATCTATCGGTCATGGTTATTTAGATGTAACTGGTTTGACTGCTGTTTAGTAACCTGATATTTTCCATTTGGATGTTTTTTTGTTCTTGCAGGACACACTTAGTGGAGGTTTTGATGCAACCCAAGCCTTTGTTGGTGAACTGGCAAATTTCAATATATGGGATAGAAAATTAACAGCTGGAGAAATCTACAACCTGGCAACCTGCAACAACAGAGCACAAGCTGGAAATGTGTTATCATGGTTGGAAAGTAATATCGATGTGTTCGGTGGAGCCACTAAATGGACTTTTGAGGCCTGCCGTCAACTCAACTGAACTGCAAAGTGGGGGCCATAGCCAATCTCAGATCCATGTTTCTAGTTTTTGTCTTTCTTTTACTCAGTTTGACATTCGTGAAAAAGAAGAGTTCTTGATAAAACAATTAAAGGTACTTTAAGAGTAAACCTGGGGTTTCTATGAATACCTGAATATTTCTGTGCAAAACTAAAATTTATTTTTGTTTTTGTTTTGATAAAATAGTTTCATGTTGGTTGTTTTGCAAACCTTAATGTGACAGTGTTATGCCATGTTACATTTAGTATTCGATTCTTTTTTGCTGCTTTATTTATTTATATATTTATTTATTTATTTGGAAGTGGACAGAGTTTTTTGCTTATTTTGTCTTTCATATATTTTTTGGGGGGGCTGGGGGCAGCAGCTGAAGAACTGTCTATTTGCAGCTTTTGGACAGTAAAGCAACAGTGCATCAGAATGTACCTTTTGTGTTTTCCAAACAAGACTTCACAAAGCCAATCACAAATTGTAAAATGATGGTTTATTTGTTATCTGAACTTAATGGTATCCCACTCTCACCGGATCTTGCACTGTGATGGATTTGAAAACAGGATGGAAAAAAGTATTTATTTATTTATTATGGTTTAAGATGGCACTTCCTTCATTTGTTTCCAGTGATCTTACCAATGTTTCTGTAAGAATGTCGTTTAGTTGCCAACATGCTTACAGCCTGAGTGCCTTGAGCTGATGTATCAGTTCAGCACATACTTTTAGTTTACTTACTCATTGTGTATTGCTTTCTTTTTGCTTTTGTTGATTAATTGTTTTTATGAAATGTGTTTAGCAGCGATTGTTAAAGCTCTGGTGTGTTTTGGCAATAACTGGTGTATTTGTATTCATTTCTAGGAATGTTATTCGTACAATAACAGCATGAATTATCAAATGCTGCAACACCAACATCAGCTTATCCTATTGTTTTGGGTCGGGTTCTTTTTTTATTTACTGTATTGATATATGCTGAAAGCATGGCACTACTGAGAGATGATGATCTAATTTTTTTAATAAAATTGTGATATATGTATATATATACATATATATATATATATATATATATATATATATATATATATATATATATATATATATATATATATATAT